TACCACCACTACGACGACGACTACTGTCAGACAGTTGTCATTATTGTTACTACTGTCGCAGTGTTCTTGTGTGTGTTGTTACGACGATGACTCCTACGATGACTGCGGTTGCCACTGCTTTATACCATTGCGCCCTGACCTGCCGTGGCCGCTACTACCGCCACAAGCAAGCATGCGTGTTCACGCGAGGAAGCAGCAGAGGAGGCCCGCAGTATGGCGATGGACTGACTTGGCACGGATCGCCGCCCAAACCATAGCAGAAGAGAGCATAGTGTAGTATGGCATGGTAAGGTACACGAGCTTGGTATGTAGTGTGCTTGAATGCACCTACCTATCCGGAGCAGCGACAAGTACCCACTAAACCCAAAGCACGAGACCCTAAATCAGCCCCTCGACCCCGACCCAAACCCTAGGCCCAAAACCCTAATCCGCAACCGTACATCAATTCGGACCCTAGGAAGCTGAGTCAGAGCATTTTGGGTGAGAAGACGCGGATAAATTTTCCTTGGGACTAGGCGGAGGGCCGACTTTCTAGGACTCCTACCTAATCGCCCAATATTTCAAGCTTCTTTCAGGGCTCAGGGCTTGGGGTCCAGGGTTTAGTATCTAGGCGGTTTTGAGGGCTGTAGGGAAGCACGGCATGTGCGTGCTTCGTGCTTGTCAGGTTCTCAGATGTAGAATGCAATGTCACTTTGACTCTGACTAATGCACATTTCCATGTCCATAGGGATCACAGCGCTGCCAAGTGTCCATAACCCGAGCTTCACTAGCATTTTAGGACCTGTGAAAGAGGTCGTTGAGGGAGGCTTACGAAGTCCAAGTCTCTTCGTTCCCCCCCAAGTTATCGCACAGTAGTGTGAGGTTCGACCGATCACCGTGGCTTTCCCAACCAAGACAGATACCGCGGAGTGTCTACAGTCCCCTAGGATCTCCCATCCGCGAATTTCGGGGGGCGGGAGTGCACCCCTTTGTGGTGTGGCCCCGTGATTTTTGCTGGGTGCCCGGATTTCAGGACCGAGTCAGCATGCCAGGGGTCAGCGACCGCATGGAACAAGCTTACTTTTGAGCTGTGAAGATCTTGCCGGATATCCTGATGTGGAGGGCAAGGAGCTGAGTAACGCCGTACCGAAGGGGCTACGGGTGCCAGTTAGACTTACTAGCTGCATCCTAGACAAGGGGTCGTCCATGTCCTCAAGCCTTGCAAATCCCTTTCGAAATGAATCTCACAGAGTCAGCGTGCTTTGGATCCTGAATGCGCTTCAAGCTGGACACGTCTTGTGGCCGTCCGTGGAGGATAGGAGGTGCAACCAGAACTGCGCCAAGGGGGAACGCATTTCAATTGCCTTTTTCTAGCTGAGCACCGATACAGCGACATTGATGCCGACGGCTGCCTCACGAATTCAAACCAGGCCGATCTCAGCTGTGAGTCGGCCGTTCCGTAGGACTCGCACTCTTAGGATAGAGACTGTTTTTAGCATAAACTTCTGAGTTGGTCGTACAGACTCGTTATTCTTTCTTTCTCGTGGGCCCGATGGTCCAGTAGCAAGCAAGCAACAGTGAAACGCCTCTTATCCCCCACAGCCCTGGAACATCCGGGGTGCATGTAGATCGCCTGAAGTTCCGAACTTGTTTCACCATAAGTGTAGCGGGCGTGCTCCTCACAAGCGTCATTGATTTTTGCCTTGCAGCAAAAGTTATGGATTCCTGAGCCTCTTGCAAACCCAGTAGGTTAGTCTACCGGGCAGTCTTGGAGATTCCTTCGTGTATGAGTGTTGTTTCAGATGGCCGTTCTGGATTCAGGGACATTCCTGGTCTGTGCCTGAGTTTCAGGACTTACGGACTACAAGTGGGTCGAGTTGAACTAGCATGGCATATCGACAACAGGAGGTACAGAAGCCTGGACTTGATTCCTTATCCAAAGAGTCTACAAGGATGCAGCGAGAGCCCCCCTGCACTTTCCCGTGGCCTTGTACTGTACCTGGACCTTGACACATAAACTACGTACAGCAGCCCATCTGGCTTCCCTCCGCTCCAAATCCTGAAGCTTAGTTGGTTGAAGGTTGCGGTTTTCTGATTCTGTCTACGTTTCTGGGACTTCCCTCAAAGGCGGCTTCTTGTTCAGATGGCTCCATTGACTAGTTGAGGACCGCTACACCTGTTGTATCGCAGAACTGTCAAGCAGCGTGCGGACCAAAATG